GCCAATGACCCCCCCCCCCCCCCCCGGTTCCGCGGCCCCTAAATATTTCCCTGATACTGAAACTAATCTGAATATTTAACTTTTTAACTTTGCAAGAATCGTGGAACTCAAGATCGAAATGGCCGACAGCCTGAGACTCTGCTAGTTAAGAGTGGTGAAAGTGAGACGCAATCAGTAAAAAATCACCGCACTGAAGCTCAGCAAAGAAAAGATGGTCAGATCGCAATGCAGCGAGGAATAAGAAACCACGAGTCGGCAAAGAATAACCAGACTGAGCAAGTTCAGGGACGTAACGGTTGTCCAAAGCCAGAAAAAAATATATCACGAACAATTTCTGATGTTACCAGTGGAAGATATAATCCATCACCTTCATACAACTTACGATCAAGGCCAAATGCTCCTCACTCGACCTTGGTAAGATTGTTTACTTTAATAATTCGTACACAATTGGAAGTTTTTCTATCGCTGTTTTTCAAATATTTCTTAATAGATTAGAAAAAAGCCCCAACTTATAGATAGATACTAGTTGCATATTAGATACACTGTCACTGTAATAGGAAACTTTCTTACAGCTATGAAACTGAATTAAAAGGGATATTAAATATACAATAATATAAATTATTTGAAGTTAAAGTTTGTAATGTATACAATATATATATAAGTGTATTATGAAGCCCAAACAGTACGAATTATTCAGCACAATAGACACTTCTCGATGTGATCCACTGTAAATAAATAGTTTTCATCGCCTACCAGCAATTTCGGGAAGTGTTTGTAGGCTACTTCGTTCTGCGTAGGAGAAAGTTATTTTTTGCCATTCATGATAATTTTTTTTTAGGTCGACTTTTATGTTTACGTTCACGGCGATCAACCTGTGGATGACGTCTATCTTCTATTTAGCCATGAAGAACCAATCTTACTTCGTCGGGTAGGGAGTGATATTAGACTGTGGCATTACCAATTACCTCTGAGGTGTGATTTGAAGAAAGAATACGTTGAATACTTTTATCGTATTCTCATCAAGGGACACGACTCGACAGTTCCAGTGTTTGGTCGATGGCTTAGCAAAGATGCGACATTTATGGATGAAATTAGCGAACGAAATATCAAGTCTAATAAACAATATGACGTGTTTCATTTTTCTCAAGACAGACGTTACTACCAGGAAACCGTTCCCCAGTCCGTTATATTTTACATTAAGTGGCTTTTACACTCTGTGGATATGTCAAATATTTCACAGATTCTGCAGCAAGTCGAGGAAATGCGTTTTGACTTCACAGCGAAACATGTCAGGGACTTCATTGCGTGGATAGTGGAACAGGTTATCGGACCATCTGTTACAGACATCCAACGTTTATATTTATGTCTCATTCTTGGTCTTCTATTCCAGAACTGTTCTAGACATTTTAGATTCCCGAACGACAGTAATTCAAAGCAAGCTTGTGATCGTTTGCTTGAGTGTTTTAGTGCCCGCGTTCATTCTTCCTTTCTTTCTCCATCAAATCTCAAGATTTTGGAAAAGTTAGCTAATACATTGGTTCAAAACTGTAGCTGTCCAGGCTGGCTCAACCTCGCGGCAACATTCTACCCATATTTAGGGGTACGTTATGTTTTACAGAAGAAACATGACTCTGGTTTGAAGTATAAATATGATATCAAGGAATATCATAAATTAATGGACACGCTCTTGAAGAATATTGACAACACTGAGCAGGAAGAGAATGAGCACCAAAGTTTGTTGCAGGCGGTACTGGAAATAGCGCCAAGTAATGACGTCGTCGTCCAGCTGTTCGATGGACCAGATACAGGCCGATTTTTTGCAGATGAAGCAGGGAAAGAGGACTTCTTTGTGAAATTTTACCAAGATTCGCATCATAGTGGTAGAAGAAGAGGAGTGGGTGAGAAAGTAGTGGAGTTATTGAAAATTCCCCAGAAGTTACGTGAGAAACTGTATCGTTTGGTGAACTCGTGTTTGTTAGACTTCGTGAGCTCTGACGAGGAGGTGAAAGAAGAACATATTAAAGCCTTCATTGACTTAATCATTTTACATAATTCTTTGCAACAATCTCAGGTTGTTGACTTACTTATTGAGATATCTAGATCAAAATCGGTTCGTCGCCACGGTTTACTACTGAGGATACTCCATACTTCATGTTTCAGGGCCGACTGGCATAACACGGCAATGGCACACAAGGTTAAGATTTGTAGTACCTGGGTTAACACCAAAGTAGTAAATGAAACACGTATGAACAGCGGAGTAGACAAAACCACTGCGGTGTATCATGGTATAGAGGAATTGATGCGTTGTTCACTCAATAAATCCAACAATAAACTTGCCGAAGAAGTGTCAAAGACGGTAGTTGAAAACATTCTGAGGAATGAAGAAAGTCTGTCTATTCTTAAAGCGTTTGTTAAAATTGACAAATATTCAACTGTTGTTCAGGATTGCTACAAAACTCATGTGAAAGAGATCCTCGGTCGTGACCGACGACTGATGAGGAAATCAGTGAAAATTTTGGAAGAGTATTCTAGCTCCAGGTAATCATTAGGTTATTTATGGGCCACTGCGATGCCTGTCTTAAGTCAAGCCGTGTGGCAGTATAGACGGTGCAAATCTATCATCACCACCTTGGCCTGGCTTGGCGTAGCCTAAGGCTCGCAATCTAAGCACGACTTCAATGTGCTTTTTGAATTTTTAAACTTTCGAACTATCTTCCATTTCATTCCCCATTTCATTCCCTGTAAAATAACGGTGAAAGATTTTATTATAACTAAAAGTAATGTTAAAACTTCAAGCAAAGGTTGAACCATGCTGTTCATAGATCGGAATTTAAAATATTTCCTCCTTGGCATGCATTTCAAAGTTCATCAGAGTAGAGTTAATGAAAATTAGCGCAACAAGACTTCGTTTTTTCAACCTTCGTGTTCGCTTAGGTCGGTATACGTCGATAATAATATAAAAGGTGTATAAAACGTAATACGATAAAATTCTATTTTAGCCTTGGCCAAGAGCTTCTATCTCTTGTACTGGATATAATAGATGTCCCGACTATTGCAAGGAGCAATGTTGATGAAGCCATGTTCAAGACCATTTTAGATTGGTGTGATGTTTGGACCATCTTACTTAAAGCAAGCGGTACGTCAAGATCAGTGTATGCCTTTTCTATGCTATTGAAACTACCAATAGTCAAAGTCCCCTTTTTCTAATGTTTTATTGGTCGACAGCATATCACGTGAGAGTGATGAAATTAGGCTGTCTCCCTCGCAACAGCGCGATACGTTATCGACTGGCGAATAACGAAAAAAATCGCGTGCGCCATCACGTGAAGATGCGACCTTTGGACATGCCTAGTAATTTAAACTTTCGCTTTAAGTAACTGCAGTGTTTAATTTAATGTTTTAACAATTAAATATTTCATGTATTTGCGTTTATTTGTTTCTTTGACTATTGATATATAAGGCCAAGTAAAAAAAAACTTATGTTTCTCGTCCCCGCCCGCTTCCTTTTTCTTGGCCGCTTCCTTTTTTCTTTTTTTTTTTTGCTGGTATTCCTCTACAAATTTCGTTTCATGTTTTTGAACTTTCTGTTTGATAACTTGAAGCTACCTTGAAGTATTAATCTGGACTACTGCGGGCTCATTCTAAATCCTATCCGCTGACCAAA